TGAATTAGATGAGATGGAATGAATTATAAAGTACAGCCCCCTACACATGACAAGTCACGAGGCTGAGTAGGTACACACTAATTCGCTGCAGAATTGAAAACTGCCCTTATAATTTAAAAGAAAATCCATTTTGCATTTGCTGATGCTGCCCATGCTAACTTTCAAATGTCTATCCAGTCTGTGGTGAGACAGGAGCTCTCCAATACAGCGTAACTAGAAATAGAAAGAGGGGTTATACTAGAAAGCTCCAAGTGTGCATGTGTTTAGCTGCAGAAAAATAAAGGTGCAGCCTTGACAACATTTCACAGATTCAATTTTTTAAAAGTTTTCTACAATGTCAACCTTTCACCAGACAAAGTCTGAGGTAGTTGGTTCTAAAAGCAGAGGCCTAATTGTATGCAGTCTGGCATATATATATTTGATGTACAGTAAGTAACATGAACACATACACAAAGGCTGCCGAATAGCTGTGCACAACAAGAAACCTGAGATTTCTGTGACACACTTTAATTTCCCTGCATGCTGCCTCACTTTCACCTTGCTAGCAGCATTCCTGTTATCCCCTTCCAGGAGATGCTGATCTCAACTGCTCCTGACCTCACAGAAGATGGAGTAGGGAAGCAGAAATGGGAGGGCAGACAAAAAACTTCAAGAACAAAAGACCACTGTATCCATGCTGTCCTTACTCTCCTCACAGCAAGAGTAGACAGGACAGAATCTATTAGCTGACTGGAATACTCACATAAACGCAATGATTCCTTTTACCCTCACGCCATCTTTTACTCCCATAGTAAAAACTCTACAGTCTTTAAACACCGAGGTGGACGTGTTTGCGCGTTTCGCTCTCAAATGCCGGCTTTTTCTTCATTTTCTTCTTTTTTGTGTGCACAAATGTTATGCACTGCTAACATAACAGACAGGCATTGCTGGGTATCACCAGCTCACACAGCCACTGGGAATTTACTGATTTCATACCACCGGAGCTGCAACTCATTGTCCGCTTTGGCAACAGCAACAGCAACAACAACAACAACAACGACTACAACCACCATCACCCTCAGGGAGCCCCCGGAGCACCAGGCACAAGCGAGCAGGCTGAAATCAGGACAGCAACCCGGAGACGGAGGCACAAGTGAGGCAAGCGTGGGGGACTCCATGCTAGGCTAAAAGCTTGCGCTACTCGACCGCCATTACCCAGTTTCTTCCTAGCTAACGTACAGTCTCTGGAAAACAAACTGGACGAGCTAAGGGCTAGGATTACAGCACACCGGGAAATCAGAGAATGCTGTGCTCTAATTCTCACCGAGACTTGGCTTTCTGACAGAGTCCCAGATTCCGCGATTCAGCTACAAACACATTCTGTACATCGAGATGATCGCACTGCTGCTTCGGGGAAAGTAAAAGGAGGTGGTCTGTGTGTGTTTATCAATAACTCATGGTGTGGCGATGTACGGACTGTTTATAAGCTCTGTTTGCCAGATGTAGAGTTTTTATTGCTGAAATGCCGGCCCTATTATCTAGCAAGAGAGCATAGTGCTGTGTTTCTTGCTGCTGTGTATGTTAGCCCAAGAGCTAATCCTTCTGCGACTCTCAGCAAACTCTATGATGTCATCAGCGCGCTAAAGAGAGCGCACCCTGATGCTGTATTTATCGCTCCAAGCGACTTTAATCAGTGCAATTTACAGAATGTACTTCCCAAATATTACCAACATGTGAACATTCCCACTCGGGGCAAGAACACTCTAGATCATGTTTACAGTAACATACGGGGTGCATACAGGGCCGCACCCCGTCCCCACCTTGGAAGCTCAGACCACATTTCTTTGTTCCTGTATCCAGGCTACAGACAAAGACTGAAACAAACAAACCCTGTCACCAAACAAATTAAACTCTGGACCCCAGAGACTGAAGGCACCCTGCAGGACTGTTTCACCCAGACAGACTGGGATGTGTTTAAAGCTGTAGCCACCTCAGAGGACTTCTCTGTCAGCATACAGGACTATGCTGAGTATGTGACCAGGTACATTAGTACCTGCATCGACAACATTGTGCCCACCATACAAGTCACGGAGGTTCCCCAACCAGAAGCCTTGGATAAACAGTCAGGTACGCCACATGCTGCGTGCTCGCTCTCATGTATTCAGATGAGGTGATGAGACGGAGTACAAAGCTGCGAAGTACAAACTGAAGAAAGCCATCACAGCAGCCAACAGGCAGTACAGAAAGAAGCTGAATGGCTTCTATTCTACTGCTGACTCCGGACGGATGTGGCAAGGCCGGCATCACATCACAGACTACAGGACCACCACCAGCATAATAGCTCCACAGACAGCCTGCCGGATGACCTCAACACCTTCTACACCCACTTTGAGACCTCCAGCCACAGCACAAAGAGGAGGCACACACACACCACCCAACCCCCCCTACCTCCTCTCCACTAACTGTCTCATCAGGCCAGGTACGCACAGTCCTGAGGAAGATCAACCCCCACAAAGCAGCAGGACTGGACAACATCCCTGGGAGGGCTCTCAGGGCATGTGCCAGCGAGCTGGCTGATGTTCTCGCCACCATTGTCAATCTCTCCCTCAGCCTTAGCATCGTTCCCACCTGCTTTAAGCCCACAACCATCTTCCCCCTTTCTCAAGAAGAGCCCGGTCACCTGCCTGAATGACTACAGGCCAGTGGCACTCACCCCAATCATTATGAGGTGTTTTGAGTGAGTGGTGCTGGCCCGTATTCAGAGCAGTATACCGGACCCCCTGGACCCCCTGCAGTATGCCTACTGGCCCAACAGGGCCACCTCAGATGCCATCGCGGCTGCCCTCCACCATTCCTTTTCTCACCTGGAAAATGGAGACCTCTACATCAGGATACTCTTCATTGACTACGGCTCCACCTTCAACACAGTTGTAGCACACAAACTGTCCACACTGGGTCTGCACCCCACCTTCTGTGACTGGCTCCTGGACTTTCTCACTGGCAGGCCCCAGGCTGTCAGGATTGGCAATAGGACTTCAGCCAGCATGGTTACAAACACTGGCACCCCACAGGGATGTGTCCTCAGTCCCATCCTCTACACCCTGTTCCCCTATGACTGTGTTGCCTCCCACAAAGACAACATCATCCTAAAGTTTGCAGATGACACCGCAGTGATAGGTTGCATCACTGGCGGGGACGAAGCAGCCTACAGAAGGGAGGTGGCTGGTCTGGTGTCATGGTGCAAGGACAATAATCTCAGAGCATTTACCACTGCAGAGCTGGAGATGATAGTGGACATGAGGAAGGAGAGGAGATCTCATCGGCCAATGTTCA